ACTAGCCACAAAGCCGTTGCCGATCTGGAGACTCACATCTATAGAATCTATAGACGAACCACTTAAACGCTGTGGAGAAATGTGCAAAACAAAAGAACACGTAAACTCTTCCATCGCAGTCGTGCAACGCCTGAGGCTCCAACCGGTCGTTCGGAGGTGGTGGGGAAAGGCCCAAAGGTCTCGGTAAGGTGATGTCTGGGAGAGTGGGTGTCCATGCATGTCCTGCGACCTTTATCAGGAAAACGCACGAGGACAAAATGGTCTCCAAAATCTTGGATTTGCTTTAAGGAACTGGGAACAGTTATTTCCCAGGAGGGATCAGGACGTGATATTCTCGATAGTTCATTAATATTCACTCCTCATAGCAAATTAAATCACCCTCAAACAAAAGGTGGCCTAGGGAGTTCTCCAGGAGATCTCTGTAGTGCCTACGCACCAGGAAGTTTCCGCAAATCGACAGGTATTTCTGCGGGAACTTCGAGCTGAGAGAGGCGCAATCGAAAGGAATTCGTAGAGGATCTGTTAACTTGAAAGGATTTCGCCTGTGCCGAAAGGATCTGTAACCCCTAGGAGGAACCTTAGAAAATCTTAAGAGGATCCGTGGTCAGGCTCCTCCCTTGTAGCTCACCCGGGGAATATGTGACTAAAGACCTCTCCAGACCTATCCAAGGACATCCAGCCAAACTGTTTCAACCTCTGAAGTCACCTCGAACTTCCTGGGAACGTGCCGGCAACTTTGGGATCGAGGAGCTGCTGAGTGGTCATCGCCATGCCTCTCTCTAACCACTTGGACTCCCCACACGAGGTGCTCCAGGTAACCGACCAGCCTCTGCATTGTGCTCCGAAGGGCTAGGAGGTGAGGGTGTTTACTCGTGGCGCGACTTCTGAGAAATCCTCAAATCATGAAACCATGACTCCAAAGAGAAACCAAAGGAAACATCTTGAACCAAAGAGAAACCATGACTCCATGGATGCCAAAGGAAATCCATGGAGTCATTATGGGGGCTTTTCTCCGTTGGACCAACTTCAGCCTCTGAGCCACCCCACCGACGGCTCTGGAGAGCCGCGCGAACTGGAGCCTTTGCTTGATTGCCTCACCTGCCAAGTCCGTCGCCAGTGTCAGCTATGGAAAGGGATCTCACCAAGCCTGCAGTACTTGTGGAAAATCTGAATGTTCTATATTCTCCTACTCTCTCCCCCTCTCTCTCCCCCCCACTCTCTCTCTCTCTCTCTCTCTCCCCCTGCCCCTCTCCCCCCGTGCTCCACAGTCCAAAGCCTTACATCGGTTCTTTGCTTTGGGGGCCCGGTAGTGCTTTCTTCAATCCATCTGTTCAACACGAATTAAAAATGCGTGCCAATATAGACGTCAAGAAGTCACTCAAGTCATAGATCATATAAGCAATGACTTCTGATATAACATATACTGTGTGTACTACTGCTGGCTGTATGTATTGTGGAAGTGTGTGTAATTGCAGCGTATGAAGGATCATAGAGGCACGATGAAATGTATAATCAACCGCCAAAAGCCCTTGTAGGTCGGCACAGGGATCTTTCATTTTCACACAGGACACGTATCCTGTTCTTAACCGTACCCAAGCAACAGCAACGAACTGTCTTCAGTGGCCTTTTTCTCTGAGGCTTTAGATCGATTATTGCTCAGCGCGACCTTAATTATCTTAAGCAATGTTCCTCACATGATTGGATACTGCAATCCTGCAATCAACCATCACCACATCGGAAAAATTGCACGGGTCGTCGCCCCACCCTCACGCGACGCACGCGACGCACGTCTCGCGCCCCGTTGAAGCCTGAGGAGAATCCGGCACTCCGAGGCCAGCCTCAGGTGGGGTGTGAAGCGAAGGGTTTGGGGTGTGCAGCGAAGGGTTTCAGCAAAAAGCACCACCACGGCCACAATCACACAACGTCAATGGCACAAGAATTCCATGACCAATGAAGCAATGCAAACGTATCATATCATTTAACAGAAATTGATTCAACAAAATTGGGTATAAATGAGTATAACATAGTATAACTCAGTTTCCGAGCAACGTGGTCCATGACTTTATCATGCTCGATCTTTTGAAAGAAGCCGTGTGCCGTGTGCCCAATAGAGCGATCAAAGGTGCCTTGATCTTCGGGAACTAGGAAGCTACTAGTAACAAGTGCCACGCTAGTAGTAACAAGTGCCTCGCTAGTAGTAACAAGTGCCTTACTAGTAGTAACAAGAAGCTACTAGGAACAAGTGCTACAAAGGAAGTTCCGAGTTCACCCTGTTCACCCGTTCACCGCCCACGAGGGAGGGCCTCTACAAACACTCTAGGGCCATGTGTCACCTTCTCCAGGTGTGCAGACATTGAGCTTCTTGGAGACATCTGTGATAACAAACATGAACAAACCTTCGGCTTGGGATGTGGATCTCCCCTCACCACATCTTGGGTTCCAAAACGCCGAAACGGAGGAAGAAAAGGGCGCGAACGCACGCGCCCCGCAGGGAGTTTCAGGGTTCTCCTACGCTTCTCCTGGATTCTCCACCCAGACGGCCACCCCGGGTCTTTCCCGCTGTGAACACAAATCAGTCAGCATCTCTTCAGTCGGCATCTTCCATCTCGTCGTCACCGGCTTCCATGTCCAAAGTCAGTAGACGTCGAGCTCTCCAGGAGTAAATGGAACAAACGCCTCGCTGACTCATCACTCGCATCGCTGAAGCCCACAAGTAGCTCTCTGGCAACGGGGCGCTTCGTCGCACCGCTTCCGGGGGAAGCTCACCGATGTCAGTGAGAGGCACCGGAGGCACCAGGCCGTTCTCGCTTGTGCCAGGTGAACGAAACTCGATGTCAGTGATATCCACCAGGCAAACTGCTGCACTTGGCTGAGGCTCGGTCTCGTCTAGGATCAGCACAGCAACATGTGATGCATCATAGCTGCGACAAAGCGTGAAATGCCCGGTTCCAATCCTGACTTGGCCATCCAGCCCTAGAAACGAAATGCAAAATTCTAGATTTTGTAATTTGTAAGGCTGCAAGGGTAAAACCAACAGGGAAAAAGAACGACTTATATACATCGGTTAGCTTTGCCAAGAATCGAATTCGCCTTCAATTTCGCGAGCTGTAGCGTTGGCTGTATGGAGTTTCCAAATCTGCCGATGGGAAGGTGGATTCGAGCAAGGTGCAAGCAACTGAAGCTACCCAGCCCATGTGCTTCTGGAGGGTCTCCACCACACCAAAGCAGGAGAAGCTGTTCTGGCAAGGTTTCCTTCACTCCATGTCCCTTGTCAGTCGAAAGGTCCTCCCATACCATGTGAATGATTGGTCGTCCTAATCCACGCGGGCTTGGCACCCACGAGGCGGCATCCGCACTCGCCACAGCTCTCAGCTCTGGAGAGGAGACACAGCACCAGGGTGGCGGTGCTGCCAAGGACTCGCACAGCAGTGGAGCGCTCTGGCGCGCCATGGCCTGGCATATTCTTTGGCCAAGGCCCCCGGACAGCGCCACCAGCTCTGCCACTTGCGATGCCAAAGAGGCCTCTGGGTCCTCGAGGCCCTCTCCACTTGAGCCCGCCACCGCGGGGGGGGGTGAGGACTTGGTTCGATTCCCGATCCGCATTGTTACCTCATGCAGCTCCAAGGATTGCTGGCGTGCCAGGAAGCCCTCAACATCACTCGGATTCGGTGCAGAACAGCTGGCGGTGTCTACGCGAGACGATGGTGTTCCTGTTGCCTCATTTCCTTCTGTGAGTTTCTGTGCCTGGTACAAAAGCAAGTGAAAAAGGGTCCGAGCAAATCGCCGTGCATGAGAGGAATCGATCAGCAATTGTTCTGTGAGGCCTGAAAACTTCATGACCCGCAGCTCCAGCTCTTCTAACAACCCCAGATCCAAACCTATGGAGGAAAACCGAATCCAATTGGCATAAGCCTTCAGCTCCTGCAGAATGGCCAAGAGGTGTTGCACTGCCACTTGCAACCGGGAGCAGGTGACCAAATTCACATAGTCCAAGGCTTGCATCAGGGTCTTTTCAATTCTCGAGAGCTGCTGCGGTGTTGTTTGTCTGGTCAAAAAGGCGTGCATGGCATCAGAGGGGTTGCCGGTGCAAAGCGTGAAGAGCAGCTCTGATTGCACTGAGTCTCTGCTGCTGATGGTGCAAGATCCTGCTCCAGCATACGCCTGAATGCAGTCGGTCATTGCCCTGATCTTGTTGATGAAGCCACTCGCTGCACTTTTCCAAACTGTTGCTAAGGTGTCCACAGCCTGTTGAGTGTAGCTTGCGACTGCGCAAAATCGTTCCACCATAGAAGAACATTGAGCCAACTCCTTCCGGCGCATGGCAAATTTCCTCACATCCAGCACCGCAACTGCCAAACTACGTCCACTAGCACTCCAACCTTGTGGTGAGTTGCCTTGATTGGGCGTCTGCGGCAAAGGTGTCCTCACGTGAGGATTCTCCGGACTTCGGATGGATTTTCCGCCGGGACCGAGCAGAACCGCGAGGCAACGGAGGTCAGTTGACAATTCAATGGCCATTGGACCTCTCGATCTCAGGTGCTGAAATGTCTCTTCTTCATTGAGATCCGTTGCCTGAAGTGGAAAGGTGCCACCGGCCGCCAGGATCAATTGACCAGCTTCATCGATCGATGCCAAGATCGTAAAGTTCGAAGTCCATTCCTCATCCCTCGACTGCGTCTCGGCATACATGTTGCTAGGAGCGCTGGGGACCGTCAGAAGGGGTGGCAGCATTCTGGACCATGCTGGTTCTTCCACCATGTATTTCCCGTCCATCCAACAAAAAGCCGCCACTGGGGCTGAGTGTGACCGTCGAGAATGCAGAACAGAGCCTGTTTCTCCATCGAACATGGTGATGCCTCCCAGGCGGTCGCCAACCACCAATCGCCGACCACATGGTGACCAAGCTAATGTTGTTCCAACACCTGTGATTTTCTCTGACAGCAGCTTTGGACTCTGGTCTTCGGACAGCAAGCGGTAGATACTCATTGTCGAGTCGGGGGCAGCCGTGAGACAGGCCAGCAGATCCATGGTGGAGTTCCATTCGAATGCTTCGAGGTCCGAGGCCGAGCGGTCCGAGAAGATGCGAAAGTCCGCACCGGAGGCAGTGCCTGTTCCGGTGTCCATTCCGGTGAGGCTAGGTCGCCGAATGTGCCATGACAAGCGCAAGGCAAATGGGCCGGAACAAAAATCCAGTCGAGTCTGGAGTCACTTGTAGATCTGGTTTTCTAACAACCTGCATGTTCACAAGTACGTATGGACCAGATGGCGTATGAGTGCAGTAGATGTTGGATCAAAGTACAGTATATTTTTGGATCTTTTTGGTAAACATGGGTAGGCCACTTGAGCCTCCAAATCATTAGGTGGCGCCAAAAAATACACATGTTTCCTCACTATGCAGCGCAGAACCGTCTCTGGAAGGCATTCCAACGAACTGACTATCTTCAAGCCTCAATCCACTAACATCACAAACAAAAAGCAATACCTGCAGGAAGTTGCTAACATGATCCAAATCAAGCCCCTCCTTTCAATGATTGGAAGCTGTTGCCGTTTCACCGAACGGATCCGACCTGCGCAGCCGTTTCCGCCGCCACAGCAGGTCCCAGAACCTGAGCACGTCTTTGTGCGCACGGCTTTTCGTGACGACTCACGGCTTTTCGTCCACCGTTTGATCACAACGATTCACCATTCTGCCAATTTCAGGAAGGTGGAGAAACGGCTCAAGCCGACGTAGGATTACTCAACCCCCCCTTCAGGTTGAGATTGGAGGTAATGGAGACCACATCCCGCTAATACAGGTGATGACCTGATTATTCATGATGGTTGAAAGGATTCTGTGTGAACACTGAGGCCTGTGAGAGGGGTACCCTTTGTTTACCTACTAGCGTGCGGCGAATATTGCTGACGGGTAAACGTTCTCATAAGTGCAGAAGTGGTACCAGGAAAAAAAATACATAAAAAAGCGAAACAAATGCAAAAAACAGGTGAAAATAAAGCAGAAGTAGTGAACAAACACGCAAAGCTACATAGTTTTGCTTTCTTGCTTGCTTTACCTTTCGTTTTTCTTGCTTTGCTTTTGCATTAACAGTAACACATATTTTTGCTCCTTGTATCTATGGCTGGCGTGCCGGACATAACCCTACGACTTCCTCTATAATAAATATGTTGCCCCTTGGTTTCACTGAAGTACACAGTGGCAATCTCCTCACAACCTGTCAACCTGTTGCTGAGATGCCCAGCGGAAGGAGCAGCATGATCCGAAGCATGCCAGTGCCCAGTGCTTGCAGGGCTCGCCTTGGATTTGTTCAGAATACAGGTGTCTCCGATATCTCGCGCGTGCGTCTACTGACCCCATGTTTGAATTAATGCGCACCTAGCATTAAGTAACCTCCCCCTATTAATCAAGCCCAGCTCGAGCCCTCAATACTAAACTTTACAGACTGAATGTCCACCTTGACATCCCCCTAAAAGCTTTTTTCCTGGCCAGAACCCCCTTTTAATCAAGCCCAGCTGCACCCGAAAAAATACTAGAAAATTGTTTACTATTCTATTATAGTTTACTCTTTTTTTGTCAGTATCCAATATCTTCTGGTCCACTCATCCATCATTCTCATCCTCCTTCTGCTTCTCATCCTGCTTTTTCTTCTCATCTTTCCGTGTTACAACACCAAAAAATCCAAAAAAATCTCTATCAACATCTTAAGGTGTTCAAGCTCACAAAGGGTACCCCTCACACAGGCCATACCTCCCTCTAATAGTAGGGGCCCTCCCCGTATTAATCAAGCCCACCCTCTGGCCTCCATCTTGTCTGTCATCTCTTTCATCCTGCAATCCTCTTTCTTTTCATAATCATCCCAATGGAAGAAATAATATTGTCTTCCAATCTCTTTCATCTCTTTCCTAATCATCTCAATCAGTCCTAATCTTGTCATCATGTCATCATCCATCATCAGGTCATCACCTTTATTAGGGGATGTGATGTGCTCCTCCAATACCTCCAATCTCAAGCCTTGTTGACCTTGTTTACCTTGAAGGGGGGGGCCCGTTGATTAATCCTACGTGGGCATCACAGTACAGGTGCGCATCCAAAACTGGCACAACCCCATACATGCCTGCTATCTAGGGTCATCAAACGTCATGTGACCCATATTTTGGAGGCAATTGGAAAGGTGAAATCTAGGCTAGCATTCAGCAAGGGAATGGGTGAATTCACAGTGTAGGATGTTGACCCTCCAGGGATAGAAGCTGACATGACGAGTTTCTGCATCCACGAGGCAAGGAATGATTTTTGATTCTTGTTGGTGCGTGGCTGATGGAAAACAATCCCTCAAGTCTGAACACAAAGCAATGACTCTTCTCCAAAGTGAGGTGAACATGCATTTGGAACCTTGTCTAGGTCTTCGTGGGGTCTTGCCGCCTTGCCGGCAATGCAAGTCGGCACGTTCATGAACACCATGGCAAATGAACATCCCCAGGTTCAAGGCATTATATAAAGTTCTAGTCTCTGAAAGAACAAGGTTGTCTTGCACCGCCTCAGGCCCCTCCCAGAATCAGAATTCCAATCTCCGAGAAGCCCCAACAACTGACGCCATCTCCGGATGGACTTGATTCGAGGGACTCGCCTAGGCGCATCATCTCGCTCTTGACATTAAGCGGTCCCACTTGAAAATATGGTTGGTTTGTATTCCAAATGCTTTTTAAAAGCATCCAGCTATGGCAGCCATGGCTATGAGTTACCCCAGTCGCCACCCAAAAACCTGGATGAACTTCCATAAGTTCCACCACCCACGCCCAGAACGCCCCCGCAAGGCCCCGAACAAAGAATGACCAAGAAGCACGCGGTGCATCATACCGAATCATACCCATGAAATCCCCGCTTGGTCATGTTCGGTCATGTTCGTCTACAAAGGCCGCGTTGACACTGGAGTCCAGGAGCTGTGTTCACTTCCTCTTGAAAGCCTCACCTTACTAGCAAGTTCCAGAATGCTCGTAGAGTTAATGTTGATATTTGCAACTTGTAACCCAACTCGCTTGCCATCGTTGTATCAATGGCCAATGGATGTGGTCCAAGACCACAGCTTATAAAGAGAACATGTGCCTCGAAATCGCCAAGCCATCTTCAAACAGTGTCAATCGACCATGTTCTGTGCGCTCTCCTCATCTCCATTGCTCCTACATCAATGCACCGACCATCAACACTCCCGTGAGCTCATCTCGGATTGTTGGAGATCACCAAGTTCCAAAGCACTGCAATTAAGAATCGGTGACTCCAATCTCCAGCCAATTTGGTCTATGCATCTAGATCAAGGAAGGTGGATCTGCTTAAGCGGCGGACACATGTCCTCATGACGCCTCACATACCTGCTCTGCCGCTGATGATGCGATTGCCACATGTGCCGCTCATCTTCTTCACCACCAAGTGGCAGTGGCCCGGCTCCCATGGGGACTGGCCTCGGAGGGCGGAGGCTTCGGAGGCATCGGAGGCTCGGCTTCGGTGTCCCGCCGACGGCAAAACCACCAGACTCGTAAGACTCGATCTCTGGCATTGACGTAGGCCAACATAGGCCAACATCTGTAGCAAACGTCAACAAACACGACGTTTTACCAAGCAAGTGTCACCAGAAATTGACTCGGCTGGCGCCAAGACATGCACTCTACTCGCGCGCGAGGAGTGCTCTTAATCAAGTGCTCATCACAAGCACTTGAGGCCGAGGGTAGGTGACGAAAGCTAGCAGGGATGCATCCGTGTCAGTGGAGGCGAAGCATACAGCGCCGTCCAGTGACAAAGGACTAAAACGTTGTGAACATGTAAGACACACAAACAGCAATGACACAGCCAACCTTAGCTTGTGAATCTGTTGAATCTGTTGCATCGTATCCCAAAACCTCCACGGAGGAGTTGAACCAAAGTGAATGCCATAAGAAGTGTCGAAGAGGTGTCCGTCCCAGAGGCGTCCCAGGGGACATATGAAGTTTTCACGTGATGCGGCGATCGAGGATTCCAGCCCCTCACTTGCTAAAGCAAGGACAACTCCAGCTAGCTGATGCTAGCTGATCATGTGGGTCGGCCATGATTCATGGGAGTCACCGTCACCTTCTTTTTGCTGTTTCTGACGGGCATGTGTCTTTCGCAGCTGCTTCCAGTCCCAAGAACTCACTCAAGAGGACAACAGTCAAAGCCATGGTCAAGCAAAAGGGTGTTTCTTGGTGGAAATGATCAAAGTTGCTGGCCAACAGCGATGCTTCCAACATAGAGGCTGAAACATGAATCTGTAGCTCTGTAGCACCTGTAAGCATGGTGACCCTAAAATGTCTGAGATATTATATAATCTTAAATCTGGCATCATATTATTGGCTCCACTAGGATCTACTAAGTCAAGTACACAATCAGCCTCTGAGCCTTCTAGCCCCATGGCTGAAGGGGATAGGGTTCAGATTGCCCTGAGCCCTTCCCCTGACTTGCTTCATCTGGGGCGACCGGACATCTCCTGGAGAAGTTGGAGAGGCCTCACCAGCTGGCCAATCGGTGCAAAATTGTATTTTTGAGAGACCTTCGATTGAGGGGCTACCCAGGACTATGCAGGCCAACTGGTGGTAGACAAGGAGTTGCAGCACCTGGAAACTATGGAGGTCCTCTGCTCTTCTATTTTCCACTGGTGTTTGCACTGAATCCATGCCAAGATTTGGAGTGGCTCTCCAGATCCCTCCCGCGTGGCTCTCCAGAAGTCATCCTTACAAACTCCTGTAGACCAGCTGGACTCAATGAACAGAAGAAATTGAGCAGACCAGTGGGGCGCTTCGTCTTTGGTTCCGATGGATGGGTCTATGGCTTCCAGGCTGTCGCTATGGGGCCGAGAGCATCTATCATGCTGAAATAATTTTGACGATACACACCAAAAGCCCAGCATTCTGGGCCCAGGTGGGATCCCTTTGGCCGGTCCCGCTTCGAGGCTGAGAGCACTTATTCTCACATCAAAGGGCCAACAAAGGCGGCTGGATATTTTGGGGATGCAGGGGTGTTCGAACCCGAAGTAAATGTTGCATCTCAGGCATCCCAGGGCAATAGCGACAGATCTCTCCAGCCGTGGTCTGCTATGACCAGCTTGTTTCACTGAGAGCAGCATTCACCAAATGGGCAACTTCTCTCAACATTGTCAGAATGCCATGTCGAATAATTGCACAAAAGCGCATACAAC